AAATGCAGTCTGGCGACCGAATGGCTTGCCGTTTGAATGAATTTGTCGAAATAGATAAACAACCTCAATTTTAGATAATCAAGAAAGGAGAATTTTTAGAAAGCATGAACAAAGGAGGGGATATGGTGTCTAAGCTTAATGTTATGAACAAAGTGCATTATTCGATTAGCAATACTTTGAAGTCTGTCTAAGTTCTATCTCTATGCATCATGGAGAGCGAATGCGAAATGATTTGTTTAACCTATAGAGACGGATATACGTTTAGATTGTTAGACCGTTTTCGGATGATAAGAAAAACTTGGGCAAAGACATTGTCAAAGTTAAGTTTTGCGCGAAGAATTGAAAAATAAGGCTTTAGTCTCACTGGAGTTAATGCAAAGTGTATTTTCTATCATCCAGGAGTTAAGATTACTTTCAACAAACTATTTGCATTATCTATATCAATAACAACAATACCAACAATAGGAAATATATAGTGCCCTTCTTTGTTAGTAAATGTCCAAAAAGGCGAAAAAAAGGCAAATTTATTAATAAAAAAAGTGTTCACACAATGTTTGCGGAAAAATCGAAAAATTGAAAATACCATTCCTTATACGCGTACATACAATTGCTTATGCAAAAGGAACGCACAAACGCGCACAAGTATTTCTACGATAATGGTAATACACTCACACATACAGACCTATTCGATACGCATTCTATCGCACACAGATGCTAGCGAAATGTCTTGTCTTCCAGAGATATAACGGTTTTAACGACATGTTCTATGCCGACGACCAACGCTATTGAAAGTGGTTCGGATTGGATCATTTTCTCGGCCAATTCCTATATAATACCTAATTTCGAAAAGTCGCAATATGAACAATTGCGTTAAGCGAGATGATGGGCCGTGATTCCCTATAACGATTTTGCGTGTTCTTTATTCTCTGTTTATTAGTATAAGAACTTGTAAATTTTATGGCGCTGCTTGTTAGTATAGTTCCCCATATATAAATCTGTAATTTTTAGTAAGCTCGTATGAAGGTTTCTTGATGGCTTTCTTGAAAATTCATTAAAAATGATATTGAAATTGAGACAAAACTCTGAAATTTTCTAATAACAAAGTCAGTTCGTTGCTATTTGGATTTTTTGCCTAATCTATACCGCATGCATAATCATCTCGTTCTGACCTAAATATTGTATATACATAAAGGAGAACACGACTGTTGGGTAAAAACAATTAATAAATTAGTTAATAAATTCACCCTACTATGATAAATCGAACGTGTTTGATGTAAAAGTAGAGTGGGTATGGAAATTCGGGAATACTACCAGCAAAACTTGACATAACCCTTTATCAATTCTTTCTTTTAGCGAAAATGGCTCCGATAAATTAGTTGGCAAGTTCATTTTTATAAATTTTAGATAAAAGTTTAGAGCTTGATGGATAGATATAAAGAATTGGCGCGAATGCAACTTTATTGGTTTCGTTGTTCACTTGGTTTTTTACTCCCCCTTCGCGAGTAGATTTGATATAATTATAGAGCTAAAATAATCATCTATCCACCACGACACTACAAACAGATGATTTTTATGCGAAAGTTTTTGGCATCGAACGATCTTTAAAATCCACATTTGCGAGAAACGGCATAGCATCTCAAACGTATAAAAGGAAGAAAGCGAAAATTGACTTAATCGACTTATCTAACCTATAAAATTCTTACTGAATAAACAAATCGTCCGATAATAAGTGCGAGCGTTTCGCTTTCTATTTTTTAAATGATTTACTTTAGAGAAGTTGTTGTCCTTTCACACCCAATCTAATGACATATTGTAGGATAAATGTGATGATAAGTACGTTGGACTTTACACATTTATTTATATATGCATCGCTGGACGATAAACTATTGTAATTCCATTACTATCGAAATCTCTTCTAAAAGATACGAATGATTGAGTAGTGTGTCGTGAATTGTAAACTGAAAAAAATTTCATCGATAATAGTTTGATTGATTTACATTTAACGTGTATGATAATCTCTCCGACAGCTAATAGGCCTACGTGGCAGAATTCGATTTCAAGTACAGCACGAACTGGATGCACTCGAGAAGAGGGAAACTTAACCGAACTTAAGCAATCACTCATATTTACAACTTGAAAGATGGTTAAATTTTTACAGTCTGCTTTCTGCTTTTTGCTTTCTGCTTTTAAAATTGCTTTAGCCAGACAATTGTACACTTGACATCAATCGACATACTTACCAAGTGAAGTGGCACTTAATCAAAACACTTGACGTGCAAAATGAAATTGTATAGAACGCCATTTATATTGCTCTCCAACCTTCATTAAACTAATTGAACCTGTAAATAATGTAATAAAAGAAAATAATAATAATAAACAATCAGGTGTCCGTCTAACCTGGTTTATTCGTTATCTTTCAACAGGTTTCTACACTAGTCCCATATAAAAGATACGACCGGCGTTACGTAAATATTTTATTTTTCAAATTTTTTTTTTTTAATTTTTAAATTCAAAAAAATACATACAAAAAAAAAAATAATGTGAGATAGGAGGCATACATTAATATTATCGTTGATTTCTTCAGTTTTTATACCGCTACAGTTTGTACATATTTAAAATTTTAAATTTTGAAATTAGGACACATCGGCTTTGTTAGAAAATGTTATTAACCCTTTTTTTTTCTTTTTGTTTATATTTATTTTTGTTTTTATTGTCATTACAAATTAACTTTAAATTGTCTACGCTGTTCATCAATTCACAGTAAATACATTTTAACTTAGCTAACTCTAAAGGAATACATTTCTTTCGACGAGATGTGCAATGCCAATAATACAATAATAAATGAAATGGACTTTTATCATTTTAAAAATCATTAGCTTATGTTCATAGATCTTGATGTCTACAAAATCGAAATTTGTTTTATACCCTACACCCTTTCTAGTAAGGTCAGGTACAAATGTATGCAACATACACAAGGACTTGAGCTACATCCATCCATCAATTATATGATATCGATCTAATGTGGTCTGTCCCTCTGTCCCTCTGTCCGTCTTGTTTTCTTATATAAAATCTAAAGGCCGTAAATTTTTAAGATTTTTGTTTTTTTATGAAATATGACTTGTTTAGGGCTCAACGACTAACCCCCTTGCAAATTATTTGAATCGAACCACTTTATTTTGAAAAGTCGTTATATGTTTAATGGTTGACACCTATAGAGTTTTCACTTGTTCATAATTAATGAATTACGAATTAAATATTAATTTAAATGTGAGGCAAAAATGAACACAATTAGGTCCTTTAGAGTGTTTACAATAGAGAATAAAAAGTCTTCAATTTACTTTATGAAGTTGTAAAAATTTATGTGAAACGTCAACTAACCGCCAATTGAATTCAGCCATTGCTTTTTCCCGTGTCTCGTGTCTCTCCCGTTCGCGGTGTTATTGTGCAAATAGATTATATGTTTCTTGTATATGTTTTTGCACAACCATGCCACAATATGGTACCGTAGCGCCAAAGATAGAAACTTGATGCAACAATGCAGAAATATATGAGAGGATGATCACGTTTCCATAACACAAAATTTCATTGCTTTTATTTTCTTACAAAAGTACGTTTTGCACATCTCGCAGCACATTTTTAATTATATCATTTATCGTTGAACACCACCGTGCATGCATTCAATGTATTGGCAGCAAAACGAGAAATGTTGCTTAAGAATGCCACTGGGTATATACATATGTCAATGCAGTAAAATTGCATAAATATATACATATGTGCATGTTTGTAAATTGAAGAAAGTGCCATAACCGGTATTGTAATAAAAAATACAGGAAACAATACCGCAAAGGACACGTAGTAGATTGCTTTGCCATTTAAATAATTTTAGCTATCATTGCAAAGGCGCTTAAGAGACTTTTTGTTTTTATTTATTATATTTTTTAAATTCAACAACGAAAAAACTATTGGACGACTACTGACTGATAGTGAGCATACAAGATTCGACTTATGCTAAAATGAGTCTTGCATTTGCTAGAATTTTGCTACTGCGTTTGCTAAGATGAAGAGGCATAATTTGTTGTTTTCATGTACAGAGAAATACATACACTCTCTATATACGTATGTATGTATGTATGTATGTATGTATGTACGCATGTATATTTGTATGCATATATGTACATATATGTATATAGATATGTATATATATGGATGTATGAATGTGTATGCTTGTTTATTTATTTCGATGAGTACAATGTTTTTCCTTTTAATTTAGTTTCTAATAATAATAAAAAAAAGGGGGCCCGTACCCATTGAGACTAATATGCAGATACAGAGAGCGAGCTGCTTGCGCCGGAATCAGAGAGAGATTATTCTCTTTGAAAGGCCAAAATTGAAGAGCAACAACATCTATGGATAAGTACATGCATGCAATACGTAATTCTCAGCGCGTAAGGTCAGAAATAAAACATTTGTAACTTAGACGTTAAACCGTTAAGCTAAAAATCGTGCCCATTTATCATTCGCTTAATTGCAATATCTTAAATTTAATTTTACTACTTTAATCAATTAAATATTTTTTTGATATTAAAATATACAAAAAAAAAAAATAAATAAAAAATAAAAAAAGAACAAAAAAGAAAAAATAGAAAAAAAACAACAAATTGTGCTTCATTAAATCTTTTATGAAAGACAACGTTTCTCTATTTTCGGCGCAGACGCATAAATGCTCTCGGAGAAATAACCTGTGGGCGGTTTTAATAAGTGTTTTGAAAAAAAAAAAAATCAACAAAAAATCAAAGTATAATTTTATAGCACCGAGAGAACATTAGGGCGTATTGTCAAGGACATTAATAGAAGCAAGGAACGCAATTTTCCAATATATGAGAATATATGTATATTTTTTTGAAAGCAGAAACAATTTAAGAGCGAAATATTTCGATATATTGATAGTTGAAACATATCATTCATTATACCTATATATATATATATATATATATATATATACTTTGAAAAGTAGTGCATTTAATAGGAAAGAAAAAAAGCAGAGATATTAAAATCAAATCATGTCGTCTACGGCCTCGTCGGAATCAAATCATAAAATGGCTTCAGGGTCCAATGAGGAGAGTTCACATCTGCTGGAAAGCTCGGTTAGAGCTGAAATTTATGGCTCCCAACCAGCGGTAATTTTTTTAATTAATTAAATAAAATTTATTCTCTTACTTTTCAATTATAAATTATTCCGTTATTGAGCGGCAGCACAAGGATTACAAATACGAACACCTGTTGTATAGGCATTTGTGATGAAAATGCTCGCTTTCTCAATTTTCGGAGAATTTTTCCTTTTTTTTTTTTTAAATTTTATTTATTTAATTATTACATTTTAATAAAAATTAAATAACGATTATGTAGTAAAAAAGCTCTACTTATAATTGGATGAAATTGAACTACCAAACCAAAATCTAAACGATATTCCTATATAAAGACGCAGATTTGTAAGAAGAATAACAATAAAATTACGGCAGAACTAAAGTACAAAATTCTTCTAGTTCCTCTTACGTCAGTGGAAAGAACCACTGGGACTAACTAAACGAAATCACAGCACGAGTGGATGCGACTATAATAAATGCATCCTTCTACTCAAGTAAAGATCACCGCTGCTATCGGGGCTGCATGTCCATTCCTGCAATGATTGCACCTGTCTTTCTTCTCCATTTCCTTTTCAGATTCGACCCCTAACAAGAACTCAGGTATTATGAGGAAAAATTCGCCATAAATTGTTTTTTTATTAAAAAAAAAAGGAGAAAAAAAAAAGAACGACCCACTTACGTTAACGCAATAGTAGAAAATATTTTATTTAATGTATTATCAATCACTAGTCATAAATTCGAATGCATCGTGCCTTCGGCGTATTTTTCCCACGGCGCTCAACTTATTAAAAGCTTCTAGCAACTAAGTTCTATATCTGCTTTAACAAGATAACTACTATTGTTATCTAAAGGCTTTTGGAATTGGGCATTAAACTGAGAAAGCCAAGAATTTCCAATCGCTCATGGAAAAACGGTTACAACCTGTTTATAAGCATCGGAACTTAGCTTAGACTTTACATAAGACATAATAAAGCTTACAGCTTATTATAGTGTAGATACCTCATAGTTATAATCTTAATTCAAGAGATATGTTAAATGCTTTGTTCGTGACATGTGTGTTTGTTGTCCACACTAATCAGCTCATCGTTCGACTATATCAAATGTATGTGTAAAGCGGTATTCAACATAATATGAACTGATATCTAACGCAAAAGAAAATACCGATATGCATGCACAAAGCTTTGTGTCTCATCCGATCCAGTGATCTTCCGAAAACTACACGAAAACGGACAGCTCGCAAAGTTTTAGTGCAAAGCACACGCGTTTATGAGGAGCAACGAGAAGAGAAACACAACATGGGTGGGTGGAGGGATAGACAGACAAATGGACTGACGGACAGACGGACAGACGGACGGGCGTAGTAATGATCATGGGCTAGATAATTATTTAATTTTACGAAATTACGACATGTGTTTAGGGGTGTGTTGCTGAGAAAACTTCACGTATTTATTTCTAACGTATGAGCCCGATTACAAACCCATATCGATGTTTGTAATAAAAAAAAACTCCAAATTTCCTTGTCAGCTCTTGGTATCTCGACACTATCAATAAGCGATAAGCAAGCAAATATAAAGCGGCTTTAAACCTGTACACGGTGTAAAATTAAAGTTTATCTGTAGGCGTTATCCATGGAACGATAATTACGTTTGCTGCTTGTTTTTTTTTTTTTTTTTTTTTTTTTTTTGTAGCCGAAACAACAACAATTATAAATGCGATAGAGAACCGCAAAATTTTCACGAGCTGTTCTACCAGTTTTTCTTTGCAACATTTTTAATGTTAACGATAGATAGACATTACCACGTTCGACATTTTACGGCGCTATACGAAAACCAAGCGATGCCAAATCTCAATACAATGTGTGCGCCCAAAGCTTTATACGTTCGTTACATAAAATCAAAAAAAAAAAAAAAAACAAGAAACGAATAATGTTTTAACAACTAATAGTGTGACCGCAAATTTATTGCAATAAAATTATAAGAAATTCTCAATTTCATTTATTGCAACATCTTATCAAGTCTGTCGCCAGGTTTTAACAACTATACCGAACTCATTTTTTACACATTCTTCTTTTTTTACACGATTTTCATTTTTCCATTCTTTTTTGCACGAATGCCAAAACAAATTTTTCTTGTTTTATTTTTAATTCGTGCGGGCTTGGAAATATACTTTTTTTGCACGAATCCAAAAAAGTTTTTTTTTTTTATTTTCATTTTGACAGTGTCTTACCAAAACTTGGATATCAAGAATTATATAAGCAAGTTGGGAACCCAAAAAAGGGCGAAAAAATGCTACCAACAGACTTTATAAATACAGGAAAAGAAAAAAAAAAAACGAACGGAGGGCGATAATAACAGAGGAATTAAATCCGACTAGACATATCTGAACATATCTACTGATCGTTCGTAATAAACGCGCCCGCTTATTATCGAGCAGCTTTATCGAATAATTGCTTTCAATTTGTATGTACTTGCGGACTGCATTTTCACCGCTCACTAAATTTTTAAATTTGTTTTTTTTATAAATATGTAATGTGGATTTCATTATTACTTTTTTTGCACGGTTTTTCGCAAAGTATTATTTATACGATTCTTTTTTAGACGGATTTCTAAGAATCGCAGAGTGTAAATATTGCAATGATATATTAATAAGGAACTCAAGCAATTTTGCGAGGTAGCGTTACGATAGGATTGCATCAATATTTGTTGAGAGCAAGAATTAAAGGCAAGAACATTTTCAAATAAACATTGTACAACAGCATCCAGCAGTGTTCCATTTTTGCGTTTTAGACTTTTCTATGGCACTTTTCAAGATTTTGGATTACAAATTCGCTCTTCCTTAAGTTAGAGGCTATAAAAATGAATATATCGAATCATATTGCGAAATGAACGGTCAAAAATTCGCACTATTGACCGTTGACGACGATCTATCAATATATTTCGAAGTGTATTGAAATTATTCACCATCTGGATTATTATTCACTGAATCGCGAATAAACTCATTACTAAGGGCGGAATATGTTTCGCAGCGCCTTTCGATATCGAATCGATGAGATCGTTCTTTGCCTTTATCCAAATAAAGGATCAGTTTCTGCACATTTTTGGTATTCGTATAACCATTCTTGCCATCTTTCATTTTGAGTACCAATCTCGCGCACAAATTTGATCTAAATAAATTTTATTTCTTGTTTAAAGTCCGGATATCTAACTAACTGTCAGTTAGCATAATTTTAAAGGCGACATTACCAGAAAGGCATGCTTTTTTCAATCAGAGATGAAAATCAGTCATCAACTTCGACGATCATTTCACGTATGTATAAACATAACAATATGTAGAAATGTATTTATTGTTTAGGTTGTTTGTTTTTTGCTCTTTTTTGTTTTCTATCTTTCAAAAGAAACAGATAGAGAGATGTCTACATTTTAATCACTTTTTATTATTATTATTATTTTTGTGTTTGGTTTTTTTTTCTTTCGAATCTCTGCGTAACACATTTCACGATAGGAATAATTTAATAAGCCATTCATAAAATTATACATTTTCGCCATCAAAAATAGATGATTTAATTTTTATACGCATCGCCGTGAGCTGAGACGTACTAATTTTTTCGTTTCGCTTGCGTTCCGGAGACTTGAAGACATCAAATTTATTGTTTTTAACATAATTATATATGCGTATCGTTCATCTGGATCATTACGTTACGTTAATTATTTGGAGAAATTAAAAATCTATCCTAAGAATATTCTTTTCAATTATGAGTCTTCCAGCAAACTCATAGTGCACTAAATATTCGTAAAACACTAAACAACAACAAATTATTAAAATGAACTTGTAAAAAACTTAATATCAAATATTGTCGAGGGCTTAACCTTCGCGTTTCTTCAGCGGATCCGTAATAAGAGCGAGCTTTACGAATTCAATACAGAAATCGTAGCATAAGCGGCAGGAATGAGCAAAAGAATCGAAGCAAAAGCAATCATCGAAAGGTAATTGTGAAGAAGTGGAAATAGAGAGAAGATATATAGGTAACACTGATAGATATGTAACAAGTGCAAATTTGTAAGATACTGTGATTTTAGTCATATGCAATTCCGTCCGTCTAGTTTAGCACATGCACTTTTATTAGAATAAAATCCACCTACAAATGAGTCGAATCTACTTAAAGCTTGTTAAGCAATCTCCAAAAGAGAACAACAAAAATGCAAAATATTTTCACTATTAATCCACAAATCGATCAATCAATGTCAATAGGAAAATTTTAATCAATATATAGGAACCTGTTAACATATTTATGGTATGAGAATTTGAACGTTTTTAGTGCTTCTGAGTCGAACGATTGATATTCATAATTCGCTGCAAGTTTGACTCAAGACTTTTTCTTTGGTTTTAATGCTCTATGCTACTCGTGTTAAGAGCATATTAAGTTTACAGGACTATATATTACACTTGGAAGTTCTTTTTTTTTTCAATATACCGATCAATTCAGGTTCGTTTTCTGAACTGATTTAAGCCTGATCGTCTCATATATATCCCTAATCTATTGCTCGCAAATTTTCAAGATATTTTATTGAAATATTGATAAACCGATTGCTCAAGCACGAACGATACCCCGAGTACATGGGCTCGAAAACTTGTCGCGACCTGAAAAGTTATGCCTTCGTATGATTAAAAGGATTTATGATTGATATTTTATGGCGAAGATGTAACCAAACAATTGCGCAAGTTGAAGTGATTTAGGGTATTTAATAGCCGGTCGTGATCGACGGCAATACTCTATCTTGTTATTTTTTTTGCGAAAGTTTATTAACCCTAACAACGACAAACTTATCGGACATTATTATTTTTAATGAGTTTCCGGTGAAATTGCTCTTATATGTTATGGACATAAGCATACGCAGATGATTTCCAATTCATCTCCTTGTGCAAATAAGAAAAAAGCTGTCTACACAGATGTTACATTATTGCCATTATTTGATTCATTCAATCAATGTTTCCTAAAAACAACAATCTGAATATAACTCAGCAGTATAAAGTAC